AAGTGCCTTAATCCACCCGAGTTTAAATAGACTCTCTTTCGAGTGCTTAATACTATACCTACGAGGAAATAAAAAAAATCTTGAATAGAAATTTATATTAAAGTTGTTACAGTTACTAAACTTTTGCCTGGGAGCTTTATATTGGTTTCTTGATTTCACGGGTAATAGGTTCTCCATGACGGCATAGGTATTTTCTTTTAGTTCTGGCGACATCAATAAATCTTCATAATCAGTAATATACGCCGTCTCGACTAGATAGAAAAACAAAAACTTAGCTGTAATAAAATAACCAGCCTCTTTTTATTTTGTTATTTTTTCAAAATTAATGTTCAGAAAGCAATTAGTGTGATGTTCAAAAAAAGGTAAATTTAAAAAATCAATAAACCCGACTGCTTAAATATGACTTTAAATAGAAACTGAAAAGTAAAGAACAAGTCCAGTAGTCTATAATTCTGTTAAGTAAGGAACACAGCTACTTTAACAGTCGGGACCCGTGATTGACAAAATTTGATCCATTCTTGAATATCTAATGGGTCCCGCGCAAGTTGTATACAACTTGCAATCGTTGTAAATCCTATACAGTCACTTTAAATGAAAAATGATGTAAGGAACCTATGATTTTCGATTATCTAGACGATGATAACCCACTCGACATATTTCGTCAACTTATTTTTCTTTCTTTCTCACAATATGGCGCTTAATTGTCCCAATTTTGAATTTCGATTACTATCCTATCTTTAGTAGCACTCCTATGATTAAGACGAATCGATTGACGTATTAATCATCGAAATCAGACAGGCGTTTGGTCTCTGGTGTGCCACAAAGGAACATACATACATGTATAGACTGTTAAACACTTATACCCTACTTGCGCGTCGCGCACCGCGCTCTTGCATTGCGCAGTCACCTCTGTGAAGTTAGCCCCCCACTTTTTGAATTTTATTATTATCTAGGTTGTTCTGGGTTGTTCCATGTTTGTTCTACATTGTTCCAAAGTATTATTTGAAAAAACTAAAATTTGAAGCTGCCAGACAAGAAAAACCGTTTTTCTATGGTAGCCCCCCATGTTTGGAAATTCAATATTATTTTAGTTGTTCCAAGTTGTTCTAGTTGTTCCGAACATTGTTCCAAAGTATTATTTGAAAATATTCAAATTTGAAGCTGCAGACAAAAAAAACGTTTTTATGGTAGCCCCCCATCTTTGGAAATTCAATATTTTTTTAGTTGTTCCAAGTTGTTCTAGTTGTTCCTGACATTGTTCCAAAGTATTATTTGAAAATATTCAAATTTGAAGCTGCCAGACAAAAAAAACGTTTTTATGGTAGCCCCCCATGTTTGGAAATTCAATATTTTTTTAGTTGTTCCAAGTTGTTCTAGTTGTTCCGAACATTGTTCCAAAGTATTATTTGAAAATATTCAAATTTGAAGCTGCCAGACAAAAAAAAAATTTTTTTATGGTAGCCCCCCATGTTTTGAAATTCAATACTTTTTTAGTTGTTCCAAGTTGTTCTAGTTGTTCCTAACATTGTTCCAAAGTATTATTTGAAAAAACTCAAATTTGAAGCTGTCAGGCAAAAAAACCGTTTTTGAGATAGCCCCCCATGTTTGGAAATTCGTTTTTTTTAAAGTTGTTCCAAGTTGTTCTAGTTGTTCCTAACATTGTTCCAAAGTATTATTTGAAAAAAATAAAATTTGAAGCTGTAAGACAAAAAAAAACTTTTATTTATAAAATAAAATCAATCGTACCTACCAGAGACAATAAATATATCAAAAATCAATTTAAACAATGACGATTGTACAACAACAGTACAACCGTGGGCTATATCGTTCCAATTTCATTAAATCATTTTGAATTAAATTAATAGAAAAGAAAACATTAGAATATAGGGTAAACTCCCTAGTTGTTGGCACTTTAAGAGTAGGTAGCATGTCAGACATTAAATTACCATAAAATCACATCTAAATGAGTTAGTACACAACACATGTTACACATGTAACAGTATCAAAGAAAGTAGTTTAATCTTTGTTTTCATAATGGTATAGTCAATGAAGGCAAAAATCAGCTGCAACCTCCGATTTCGTTGAACCGCCATCGATTTTCATGAAAATTGGTAAGTAGGTGGGGGATACTATAAGAAACAAAAGTGACATAGTGCCAACTTGCGCTTTTGCCCTGAGGGTAGATACCACCCCTTCTCGGGGGTGAAAATTATTTTAATAAAAGTAACTCCAGGAATCGATAGAAAGACAAATTCTAAGTAAAATTTGTTATATTAAGTTTTCGGAATAAATCAATACTTTCTGAGTTATCAAAGATTAAATATTGTGATTTTGCGTGATAAAAATACATGTTTAAGCGGTTTTTCATAAATAACTCAAAAATTATGAGCTTTACAAAAAAAACATTAGTACCAAAATTGAAGCTAATATAAAAACAAACAAACGCCTACTTTGAAAAACCTTCTAATTTCAATTCAAAGTGAGCTATAGGTAATTGTATGTACATATATTTTTTTCGGCAAGTACTTAATCTAAGTATTCAAACCTAAATAACGGGTAACCGATGAATTTATGACAATCACTTCCGGAGCACTTTTTAAATTCCTCAGAAATACCTTTATAATGAGCACTGTAAAAAGTTAATAGCTTCAAAATTGAAAAAGTTATGATAAAAATAAGATAACACTTATTTTTTTTGGGAAAAACGAAAAATAATTCCAACCATTCATCAAAATGCATAGGTTTCCCGTTATTTAGTGTTGGAAACTTAGATTTAAGTACTCGTCGAAAAAATATATACATACAATTACCTATAGCTCACTTTGAATTCATATAAGAAGGTTTTTCAAAGAAGGTGTTTGTTTTTTTATTAGCTTCAATTTTGGTAATAATTAGACTTGCAACGAATAGTATATTCGGCAGTATACCGAATATTCGGCGAGGCCCCTGACCGAATAGCTGAATATTAGGCAAAAGCACGGTAATAATATCATACAGTATTCTATCTTCATACAAACGGTCGGAAAGCGAGTCATACCTCTTCTTAGTCGGGCACTCTTGTCAGAGTGGTCGTGGTTGCACTGATGCACCTTTATAGAATATTTTTTATATACCTATCTACTAGTACTTTATTTGTTTCTAATATTTAGGTATTTCGGTTTTTCTATCGGGCAAAATATCTGGAATAATATATAAATAAGTGGTTAGGATGAAAAAAGAGACAAACGAGTAATCTACCTACACTCGCGTTAAAAACAAAACTACATAAAATACTGTAGGCTGGCGGCCCTACCGCGTGCCAACGCAGCGTTCGGTGTAGGCATTTATTTTCAAGGACAGGGCGGAGTCACAATACTGTATAGATAATATTACTGTGGCAAAAGTATTCGGCTGGATTTTAGCGCCAAAAACTTGTACAAACGTGATTGTTTCGCGCCCCTTTGTTTGCAGTGCAATTCAGTCAAACGCAGTTTCAACAGAAATGGATCTTTTCTTAAATATTAGTAATATATCACGTCATGACAACCCATATACATGGTGGCAGCAAGGAAAATTGAATTTCCGTGTTTGATTAAGATTGCAGCAAAATATTTGTGGGCGCCAGGAAGTAGTGTTTATTCAGAGCGCCTTTACTCTGAAGCTGGGATGGTGTACGAGAAAAAAAGAATTTCTACTACTTCCTAAAAATGCAGAAAATTTAGTCTTTCTGCACCATAACCTTCCCCTTCTAAATTTTGATTATGAAAATAATTCAAATGCATAGAAAAATTCTTAACTTGTTTAATACAGAAAATGATTAAAATATGTTCCTGTTTTATGTACCAATGACTACTTAAAAATGATTATAAAAGAAATGAGAACCTTTCCCTTTTAAATTTTGATTACCACAATAATTCAAATACATAGAATCCTCCATTTTTCCAATTCAGAAGATGATTATGTACCAATTACTACTTTAATGATTATATATAACAGAAATGAAAATATGAATATATACCTACGTAATCAATCGATATTAATTTTCATTTTACCAATTATTTCTCTATGACAAAATATATTATTTAAGTATTTGGTATTCGGTCGAATAATATGTAGGTATTCAGTATTCGGCCGAATATAATAAAAGCAGCCGAATAGGCCGAATACCGAATAGTAACCGAATATTCGTTGCGTCTAGTAATAATATATTTTTCTTTAAACTCATAGCTTTTGAAATATTTATGAAAAATCGCTTAAAACATGAATTTTTTGACGCAAAATCACAATCTTTGATCATTATTAACTCAGAAAGTATTGATTTATTTCGAAAACTTAATATAACAACTTTTGCTTAGAGTTTGTCTTTCTATCGATTCCTGGAGTTATTTTTATTAAAATAATTTTTACCCCCGAGAAGGGGTGGTATCTACCCCTAGGGAAAAAGCGTAAGTTGGCGCTATGTTACATTTGTTTCATATGGTATCCCCCACCTCATCACAACTTGAACAACTTGGAACAACTAAAAAAATATTGAATTTCCAAACATGGGGGGCTACCATAAAAACGTTTTTTTTGTCTGGCAGCTTCAAATTTGAATATTTTCAAATAATACTTTGTAACAATGTTCGGAACAACTAGAACAACTTGGAACAACTAAAAAAATATTGAATTTCCAAACATGGGGGGCTACCATAGAAAAACGGTTTTTCTTGTCTGGCAGCTTCAAATTTTAATTTTTTCAAATAATACTTTGGAACAATGTAGAACAAACATAGAACAACCCAGAACAACCTAGATAATAATAAAATTCAAAAAGTGGGGGGCTAACTTCACAGAGGTTGCGCAGTCGGGTAAAAAAAATTGTTGTTGAATCAAAAAAAAAACTTTGACCAATCACAGTGTTATTTGGGCTCAAGGTTTATGACCAAATAAACTTATGGTTTGGTATATGGTTGTGGTGTACAGCCTTATTATTGTTATTACCTTTGTAAAACCTCTAATTGTTTTTCTTTAATTTTCAGGTGCTGTCAAAAAACGGCCTGCATCATAACTCTCTATTATTTAAAAGTAATATTTCTTACATAAAAACTTATTCTAGAAGAAAGTTGCAAGATTCTCCATCCGCAAGTACGGAAAACCCTGAACAGGTAAGATAACACATACCTATACAATGCCTTATTGATATTGGTGTCGGGACCCGGAACCAGTAGATTGGCAGAAAATTATATAGGTGCAGTATGAGCAGGGCAGAATGGATTCAAGGCAGGGCTGGCGGGGCTTTGATCCAGAAGCCTACTACAGGAGACAACAAACAAAAACTAACCAAATTTTAACAGGTAACCAAGTATACTGCCTTTTTTTCCTTGCCAAAGTAACATTTTTCGCATTTTCACCGTTAATTGATCTCAAAGTCTATACTGTCATATTATTTTTTTATATATTTATTATTAAGGTCTAATATTGCTCCGAAATAAAAGTGTAGGTTGCCATCATATCGCCTAAAAGTTACTATATGACCTGACCGTTGATAAGCTTTTGCAAACGCAGATATCATTTATCGTTCGAATTGGGACACCCATCTGGGGAAGTAATTTCCATCTTACAGGAGATGAAATAACACTACTTTTTACTGGTGTTCTCTTTCTGGCGAAGGTGCCAGGGGGCCAATCGCCTAACGGAAATGCTTTGGAAAACGCTAACGCTTACGATTTTATTTTGTTATTACTAGCCGCCTGAGGTATTCTAATGCCTCGCGCTCTTTCTTTTTCTTTTGCATTGGTAATAACAATATTAAAAAAAATGAGCGTGAGGTATTCGAAAACCTCAGGCGGCTAGAAATAACAATATAAAATCGTAAGCGTTAGCGTTTCCCAAAGCATTTCCGTTAGGCGATTGGCCCCCAGGTGGCCTATTAGAAAACTTTTTTTAAATGTACAGTGTGTTACTGTTACTAAAGAGGAAATTGCATATCGATCGATGCTTTTCAGGTCAAGTATCTTAGTGGCGTTATAATAAAGTAGCAGTGGACTAGTAAATAGCTCGGTAAATTATCACTTCCATCTGTCAAAACCAGTTAGCAAATAGGCCTGATGGGGCTCCAGAGGTAGGGATATCATTTCGGTATCATCGGTAGGCGATCAGAAAGCACAGCAATTTTAAAATTACTTTAAAATCCATTTTCTTATTTCAGTTAAGTTCTGATTTTATAGAAAACGTTGGTTCTGCAATAGTGAAATCCATGGTTGATGCAACGCTAGAAGATCGACAAAAGCTTACAAACAAGTTGCAAGATATTACAAATGAAAATGAAGAATTGTCTCTGTCTCCTCAATGTGAAGAGAAATCTGAAGAGCGGGATCAATCTAACGCAAACGACGTTTAATATGTATACATTTAAGATGTACCTTCGCCTAGGTATTCTGGTATTACAAAAATACCAAAAAAATGTCCTCAAATAGTGACAAAGGTCACTTTTTATAAGTCGTTGATAAAAACTAATAAGTGGTATGAGCAGCAGGGCCGGATTTAAGGCAGGGTAGGCGAGGCTGTGGTCCAGAGGAATGAACAAAAGGGGGTCCCTACAACAAAGATAAAAACACATTTTGTTCTGGCCCGGATTTAGGGGCCACCACTCTTTCGTTGTCGCAGGCCCCCCACACCTTTAAATCCGGCTCTGATGAGGAGCATTATAAATCTTATATTAGAAGTTAAAATTCAAAGTGACATCTAGTAAACTTTTAACAGCTCTGTTGTTGTGAGAGGGTAAGGTCCCCGCGAGATCGAAGCCCCGCAGGCCACTTCGCTATCGGAATTCGTATGCGATTTGGGTCATTATGATTATAACAGGAAACGAGTGTTTCAAAAGAGGCAATATTGACTGATTTTATTTGCTAGGTTCATGGTTAATATACACTCATAAAAGGAGCTAAGCAACATGTTTTTTTTTTATCGTTTGACCGATTTTTAATACTTATTCTTTGGTTAATTTTAACCAATTTTATTTATTATCTAGTGACTAAAACATTTTTTGTTTTACCCTACCCTTTGTATAAATTACATATTTCCTAACAATAAAATATCAAATATAATAATAATTTGCAGTAAATTACTCATGTTGCTTAGACTCTTTTTAATAAGTGTCTTTGTAATCATTAGTGAAGCGTGAGAGTGAGAGCTGAACATCATTTTCATTATTTTTTCCTTTTATCATTATATAACTTATTTTGAGCAATAATAAATATCGCCTTGCTCTTTGTTGCAGTGAACGGTAATTTTTGCGTTTTGTAAATATTTTCTGTTAATTTTAAAATATGACTGATATTCTATACGAGTTTGTGTTAAAATGTTGCACACACGAAGACTGCTAAATAGCGTGTAATGTTAGTTTATTATTATTCTAGCAGTGAAAATAAGCATTGCTAGTTTATTATTCCTAAATAGATCAACTTAGGTTATTTTATGTAAAAATCTGTGATATTACAATTTAATCGACTATCGGGCCCTTAGCACGAAAGTCATTATGGGAGTTTTCTTCACAACACTTGATCATACACCTACGAAATCTTTTGACTAGGCGGCAAACAAAAGATTATATAAAGATTATAAAAATTGGTTGCCTCGGTTATTAAATTGATAGGAGGTAGTATGTATCTATCTATTCTATTCTTACTTGCAAGTAATAAACGAAGAATAAGCTTGGATTTGTTACTTGATGTTTTGTCGCTGTTCATTGAATGACAAAAGGCATTTCGAGTGATAGGAACAAAACACGATATAACAAGTCAGAGCTTATTCCGCGTTTATTGATAAGGTGTTTACAATCTAAGCGGAACTTTTTGAACCCCGTGCTTTAATAAAATACATAGTTTCTAACACCTAATGTGGTCACCATTTGGTCCTTGTTTTTTTTTGTAAACTAAGGACTTCCGAATATTCTGGTGGTTATATTAAATATATACTACTTAAGTTCATTCATTAGGACACCTTTGTGTAACTACGAATTCCATTTATTTATAAGTAGTACTTATATTGTATGGGCAGGGCAATACTACGAAAAAATATTCGTGCCAGGGTTCCGATAAGTAGTGTAGAAAACCTAAGATTTAAAAGTTCAATCTTATTTTTTTTTGTTTTGATCTTTATGATAAATGTTGACGGTAGTTTCTTTCTAAGTGATGTAAAAGTAATAAATAAAAAAAGTTAAAGTTGTTTCTACTTTTTTAAGTTCCTATCTGTCGGTTATCATAATCTTCCAAGACCTAATTTTCTCCTTTCCGATTAAGTTGATTTTTTATGTAAAGCTGATAATAATGAAAAATAGAGATAATTAAAAAATATATATATAAATACTTCTAAAATATTAAAGAGCTGATCTGATGATGAGCTAAAAGCTGTTGAAGGGAACTCTAACAAAACGATGCAATATCATCGATGAGCTCGTTTGAGGAGTCTTGAGTAGAACTCTGATCATTGGGTCTGGTGATAATGATTATTAAAAACCGTCTTAGAATGACATCAGGTATCCGTGCGGGCAATTTTAACGTTGGGTACATCCTACATTATAGATTCTTCTGACATATGTTGGTTCCTTTTTAGGGTTCGGTATCCAAAGGGTAAGAACGGAACCTTATTGCTGTCACTCTGTCGCCTGTCTGTCCGTATTGTATTATTGGGTCTGCAGATGGTAAACGGAATGAGATAAAGAACTCAAAATTATTAAGTGGACGCGTACATTTTTTTATGTACTTACCTAGGTATTATCTACTTTTTTACAGAGTTCTGATTTTCATAATTCTTTTTTTATTGAAAATAGTGTACTACGAAGTTGGTCCCGTATAAATTTGAAAAAAGCACCTTTTTTAGGGTAGCTCCGCTACCTATTCGATTTAGGGACCCGTTTGTGAAATATTAAATAATAATGTAATAACCAAATATCAAAGTGCAATGGAGACGGCTCTTTGTATGGAGCGTGGTAGTCAGTCTGCGATTGACTCCAATTTTTGTGACACTCGATTATGCACAAAACTTCATAATTCATAGCAACAGTTTTGTACTTAAAAGTAAATTGAAGTCAATCGTGTTTTATAAGTTCTTGTTCCCGCAAATTAGAGATTATTTTATATAGGTATAAGAATTATAAAAACGGATATTAACAACTATTTAAAGATACAAATAAATTAATAGTTCAGCATGTGCACAACTTCGGAATTCAAAAACTTTACATTCAGAGAAAATTACAATTAGTTTAAATGTAAAGAAAATAGTAAAACATCCACGCGGACCAGGCAGCAGACAGGACTTGAACCAGCACCCTTCGCTATCCGGGCGAATGCACTGACCAATTATGTACCGCGGCCCTAATGGCCGTGTCGAATTCTTTCTAGCATTTCTTAAGCTACAAGGTAGCGCCATCTCTTCGCATTGTAGGTAACAAGTCAAATTCACAATGTCAAATGAATACAAGTGATAAACATGTGAAAGAATAAATAGCAATTATAGTTATGATCATGGGCGTAGCCAGGTACGGGCAGGGCGCAGCTGCCCCCCCCCCCCCCCCCCCCTAGACCGAGGAGCTTCGGAACCAAAAATTAAATAATAAATAATCTAAAAACTAAATATACAAATTATAGAATCGCACATCACTCTCATTAGTCTCGTTACTAAAGCTCTAATTTCGATAGGACTACTCGTAAACAGAGAAGTGATTTCGTACGTACCTACGTTAAGCATTTCTTGGACGTAAAATGATGGATATAAGGATTTTTTTGTGCAGTCTGTATAATGTTACTGTGTGTACAACTAACAAGTATTAACGTACTAGAGGTCGCCCGCGACTTCGTCTGCGTTAACTTAGTTTCTTAAAAATCCCTATGGAACCTAACATTTTTTCGGGATAAAAGTAGCCTATGTGTTAATCTAGGGTGTCAGCTAACTCCATACCAAATTTTATAAAAATCGCTCCAGCCGTTTAGACGTGAAGAAGTAACAAACATACACACTCACATACTCACAAACTTTCGCCTTTATAATATTAGTGTGATTAGTGTGATTCATAAAAATATAATTTTGCCGGGCAACTATGGCCCGTTTAGAACACAGGTTTAGAAGCATCATAAAAATAAGTTATTCGAAAATTTGTTTTTTACTAGCTAGCACAAGTCCTAAAAAGATCATAAAATGACATCTATTCTCATTAATTGTATGTGAGACGAAATTCTTAACAATCCATGTTTCACCGTGCGGGTGCCGAGTCCATCGTGTGGCAGAGAGAGAAACTCTGAGCAGTTCCCGGGCCTTGCCATCCGGTGTAGGTTTAAGGAGGCCCCCTTTGAGATACGCATCAACGCTCACCTTCACTGCTTGAGTTGCCCGCCCTTCCTAGCCAAACTTGATAGGAGTCTGTTAGTGCAGCCTTAGTTACTCGTTCCAAAATTAAACTTACTGCAGTTCTCGATAGGCCGAGGTCTTTTAGAAGGTTATAGAAAGATTTTGCTGGTATACCTCTCGCTCCTACTTCTACCGCATGTAAATTAACTAGATAGACATTTTTGGTTAGTTCGTTGGTAAGATCGTAATATTTATTCAATTTTATTGTAAGGTATTTTGGAATGTCTCAGACGACCTCCGTGGCCGAGTGGTTTGCACGCCGGGTTTCATGGTGTCGCCGACTCGAGAGGTCCCGGGTTCGAATCCCGGTGGGGGGGGCAGATGTTTGTGTGGTGAATACGAGCATTTGTACTCCAGTCATGGATGTTTAATATGTATTTCTATATAAATATACTTATAATTGGTACAGTATATGTATTCTATCCGTTACCCTAGCATCCAATAACACAAGCCTTACAGTGCTTACTTTGGGGCTAGGCTAATTGGTGTGAGTGTTGGAAAAAAAATGTTAGTACGATACAGTAAGCTCTATTAGTACTTTACTTATGTTTGATGTGCCTAAAAAGGGGAATACGTCCGGTCTGGATGACGAAACACCAACATCATCTGGTACATTGTAGTGATTTTCATACGTATCTTTTAAAATAATCTAATCAGGTTCAGTATCTAGGATTGAAAAAGGCTTGCTTTTCCAGTTTACAGTTGAGCCTTTCTTTATAAAGTTAATTTGTTTTTTATTTGTGGTTAATCCTTTTTGGGCAAATAAGCATTGTATTTTCTTTGTGCAAGTTACAAAATAAGCTTGACGGTTAATGATTTTAATAATGTTCCAGAAATAAGAGACACGATTAGCACAATAAAAGATGTCATCAACTTTTTCGAGAATCTTCTCTACGGAGAAAGTACGTGCCAAATATTCCAGCTCTTTGTGAGACACGCTGGTCACAAAAAAACAAAAGTACCTATCGCTATTTTTAACGATCATTTTGAGGGCATTCTCAATGGGCTTTTGGCAATTTCTAGAGAAGGTAATGCTGCAGCGAGAAAAAACGCTTACCACTTAGATGTGCTGCTACCAAGTAAGAATTTATTATATCTGCTGGTTTGATAGGAAAATACTCAGGAATATTGAAACCTGTTGCCAATGCCCTATAATCAAAGACAATAGACATGTATATATGAAAGAAGCATCTCAGTAACGCGGACCAGGAATTCCAATATGTCTTCGACACTTTTACGGAAACTGCAGTTATCGTTGGAACCGATTTATATATCCCGCGCATTGCATTTCGCCAACGACATCAGTCCAATCATCCTGCTGAGACTCCATGCGATTTTTGGAAGCGATCGATCTTCATCCCGTATTTGGATTCCCTTATATCCGCACTGGAACATCGTTTCTTTGATGAACATATGTTAATCAATAAAGGTTATAATGGTGCGGGTTCAAGTCCCGTCTGCAGCCTGGTCCGCGTGGTTTTTTTTTCTAGTACCTAATATTTTCTTTAGATTTAGACATCGAGCAGTTAAATGATTAAAAATAAAATTATAATTACAACTAGTTTTTACTGATATCAATTTAGAACCTTCCGTCCTACTTACATCTTCTAAGCAAAGTACATATTCGTCTTCGGTCGCCGCCGCAAGGCGGCTCGGGCGCACTGGCTAGCGACGACGTTCTTTTCAGTTTTTTCGGCGGTTTTTTTTTTCAACGTTTTGTTACTACATAAGTTCAAATGCTTAGTAGAATGCTTGCCAAAAGCCGATTATTGAAATAAAAATTCAATGAAATGATTTTTCATAATCCCATTTTTTTCTTTTTTACCCCAGCATGAGACACATCATTGTCTAAGTTCAGTAGGATATAAAAATAATTTTCATTATAGTTATAATTTAAATTTTTAAAGCATGTAACTGCTTGATGTTTAAATCTAAAGAAAATGTAACTAGAAAAAAATCCACGCGGACCAGGCAGCAGACGGGACTCAAACCCGCACCCTTCGCAATCCGGGCGAATGCACTGACCAATTATGCTAATTTTCATTATGTTTTATGTACAATAACAGAGTAATAAGGGGCCGTCAAAGTTGTAAGTTTTAGACCATTTTTCTTCTTTCGGTCTGTCTCAAAATCGAAACTAGTTAACAATGTAAAATTTTGGTATTATGGTGTCCTATATGCTGTATTTAAACAAGAAATGCTGAAAACGCATGGAAATCGTCGATTTGTAAGGATCTTTATAAGTTGTGACGAAAACAAGCAAATGGTCATTTATGATATTAATGCGGTAAGTTGGTATTTACAAACGTGTAGACGAATGTAAGCCCGAGACGAAGTCGACAGTTTACTATAGGTCACGAGTTTGTAAATACCAATTCCGTACGAATATCATACAACGTTTTACAACACATTTGCGAGAAAACAGTACATAAACATAATTTGTAATGAAGCTACTTTTTCTTATAAGAAAATGACGCGCATTTCCTAGTGCCACATGCGGGTTTTTTTTCTTTTTTATGGTAAGCATCGTGCTTGCCATATCAAGTAAAAATGCTGTTTTTTTTTCAACCACATCAATAAGCCTAGCCCTAAGTAAGAACTGTAAGGCTTATAGTGGCAAGCACGATTAAAATGAGAATTATATGTTTAGTTATTTTTTCCTTTTTTGTATTAAAGTAATACAAAAGTATAGATTTAAAGATTTTCTAAGAAGGTTCGACCGAAATAAAAAAAACCGTAAAGGATACACACGGTGCCGTATGGGAGTGCTTGGTTTAAAATTACAAGCCATTCAACGGAGCGTTTGGCTTGTAATTTTAAAC